AACCTCCGCTTTAGCATTCGATCTGTACACGATTCTAGATGGTTCAAATAAAGAACCTTATAATTATGTTCGCTGGGTGAAGCACATGTGCCCAGCTGCAGAGCTCGACTGACGTGTTCAGCGATAAACGTGGCTATACTGTCGTACTGTTCAGTTGTTTTTCGGGTTGCCCATCTGTCTTTGTCGCAATTGATCAGCACGCAGTTTAGAGTTCGAACGAGGCCATTTTAACGCTGTTGTACACGTATACTGCTCAAAACTAACGAAATACCGTTACTCGATACTTGGTCTTCAAAGTTACTAAGTACGTTGTTACTCGTTCCTTTTATAAAAAAAAAAAAAAAAAAATGTAACTAAATACGTTACTCGTTACCGAAAAAAGTAACTAGGTAGAAGTAACTCGTATACATATCTGGGTGAACCGTAGATCGGAGCACGTGGAGCGAAAGCAAGAAACGCTGGAGCTCATAGGTCGATCGCCTCCTCCCAGCGTTCGCTCTGCTAAAGTGGAAAAAGGCGGCAGGAGCTTCCACTTCGTTCTTAGGGAGTTATTATGACGTGGGTACAAACTTTTGGATGCGTTCCCCCCAAAAAGGGGTTTTCACATTGTTATAAAGAAACTGCACCAAGTTTTCGGGAAGGACGAACAGACGTTTTTCATGACGGGGGTTCAGGTCTGCTCCGTGGCGACTGACGCTCTTGTTGAGCTCGTGATGAGAGGACCAAGAACCGGGGCGACAAGCTTTTTTGTTTAGGGCATCCAAAAGCTTCTGACACGTCCCGGCGATTTGAGAAGTAGAGTGTGTACTACCTTTATTCTGTACGTTTTAAAATTTTTTTTTGATCAAAAACGATACGAGAGCTGTTTCAGCTAACCACCTAGTTAACAGAGAACAAAAGACGAATTTGAAGCGAAGATTAATGCGCTTACACAATACCTTCTCGTATTCCTCGAACAAAAAGAGCAAATAGATGTCTTTCAAACAAATCACTCAAAAGTGTTTTTCTTTTTCAATTATTATTGCGCGATTAAATGCCTTAAAATGTATTGTCCTGGCTCATGGAGCGTCAGTGTAAGGTCTAGATTTCACGAACGCAGAGCGAGCAGTAGGTGGACCGGAGGCAGCGATCGGGGGAAGTTCTGGCGGCTGCATCCGAAAGGCGCCGACGCCCGGGAGAACGACCGTTGCGAGGTTTGAATCCCAGTCTTTCGCCGAGTTGGAACACCTGCACTAAATTCTAACGTATTTACTCGAGAATGAGCGTAGCGACGCGGCGGCAATTTCGGCATAGTTCGTTCACTCTCGACGTAATGTCTCTCTCTCTAACCCCCTCTCTTGCCCAGTTAAATTGTGCAGGGTTCTCGCATAAACTTTAGCTGCTCCACTAAAAACTGCCTGTATCAGTATTTTACACCCTCCCCTCCAATGCCAGCTGCCGCGCAATGGAACAAGCGCGGGGCCGAAATGCCAGCGTCAACCGTATCCATCTGTCGTGCGATTCGCCCGTTCAAAATCCCCAGCACAACGTTTCCTTCTTGTCAACCACCGGGAAATTTTATATATGTGCAACGACAGTCTGAGCCTACGATTATTATTAGAGAGACTCCCTATTACACTTCCCTTCACCTCAAGTCCGGGCACAGCCGACGCTACGAGCCGATGGGGACCACTCCGCTTCGAAAACGCAATGTCATGGTGTTCGTCGTGTTCACACCTTATAAATGCTGCAATCCGATTGGTTGCGGATCGATAATGAGATGCACGACGATGCCCTGCGTTTCTTAAAGGGGTCCTGAAATCCTATTTAAGCGTCTACCCTTTTTTTTTTTTTTTGCGGTTTCCACGTCTCTTGTGGTTCGGGCAACCCAGCGGGCACGGAGAGAGTCACTAATAGCATCTTCGATCAACTCGCACCGGAATCGCCCTGAAACCAGCACAGTGCACAGCGCTCCTCGGTCGTGCAGCGCGATGTCGGTGCAACATCGAGGACAAACTGCGCCGCGCCGGCGCACCGCGGCGAGCTCCACCTTGCGTCACTTCGCGTTTTGTTCGTTTTTGCTTGCGTAGGTCAGCGCACAATGCCCGTCTGCTGTCAATTTCTTCTATTGTTTTACTCGCGGATTTGACGGTCCCACAGAAATAAACATCGTGGACGTGACTGTCGATGGGGTCACGAAATGGGTGACAATTCCACATGTATATGTTGGCCATCCATTAATGGTTCAAGAAAACGAAACACCAGATAATAGCCGTACCTCGCTGTCATCGAAACGCCTCGCGCCGCTTTCCACGAAGTTCGTGCTTTTCGGGCGCTCCTTGCCACTGCAGCAATCGCCCATAATCGCGGCGATGGTGGGAAGCTCGTCGTCTCGACGTCAGAAGACCCGAGGAAATCATCAAGTGCAGCTGCGAGGCGTGTTCGTTTTTGCAAGATCGCCATCTCGATAGTCTGCGCGTCTGCTACTCCCGCCATCTTCTCGATTCCCGCTGATGGGACTGCCCCCCGGCGCACCGCCGATTTTCTTGGTGCGCGTCGGGGCAACGAAAAGCCGCACCGGGAGGGTGCGCTTCGTTGATCGAGGACGTCCGGTGCGCACCGGTGCACTTGATCGAAGATGAAGGGGCGCACCTCAGTGCCCCGGTGCGCACCGGTGCGGATGATCGAGGATGCTATACACGTTTGCAAGTCCGGTCTCAGGGTGCCGCCATCTTGCTCAGTGGGGTGCGCTCCTGGGCACGGCCATAATCTGATTACGACGCCTTAGCAAGGCTTCGTAATCGGATTATGTCGCGTCCACGCGCACCCCAGCCCAGCAAGATGGCAGCGACCTGAAGCCGGACTTGCAAACATGTATAAATGTCAGTGCGTCATATTTTAACCGGACGACGCGGAAACAACCTCCTCCTCCTACGGGGGCGCCCCGTGGTGCCAAACGCGCGCGACATGTGACGAAATCGTGACGTCGTCGGTCCCGGACCGCAGCCCACGCCACGATCCGAGTGAGCGAATGGAACGGCGCCAAAACTGCGTCGTCAGAGAGCGCGCTGTCTTCCGGAGGTTCGCTATCACGTTTACAGCGGAAGTCGTCTCAGGGATAACGTATAGAGACCCTGCTAATTTTTCTGTCTCGTATTTCGCTCAGTTTCTGCTGTACTGTTCACAAGAAAATGACAACGCGTATTAAGAAAAAGCAAGCAGCATGACGCTGCAATATTGCTCCATGGACGCGCGCGCCAGGCGCGCGTGCAGGAAAGCCTGCAGGCCATGCTGCGAGTGGCGAGCTTCCTCGCATGGCTCATGTCGAACCAACGAAAGAGTGTCTGAAAAGATTTTAGTGAAAGCTTCCACCAGCCTTCGCTGAACCCATCTTTCCACAATTTGAGTGAAAGCTTCCACCACTTTCCACAATTTTAGTGAAAACCCCATAATATAAGCTTCGCCTCTAGCTACGCCACTGAGGTACATTTGTTTGGATTGAATTACAATTGTTTGAATTGAATTTGAATTACAAGGGAATATGGGACCTTGTAATTCGAAGCGGCACGAGCCTTGTCAGCCTTGGTTTCGAGTTTGTCTTTTCGTGGCGACGTGAAACCCAAGATGACGATCATGCAAGGCCCATTTCCCTATTAAAACGCGAATAAACGTTTTAATACACGGCCCTTCTTTTTAGCACCCCGAGAAGAAAAAAAAATCGCGCGCAATATTTTATGTTGTTTTTAATATAGCAATAGGGCAGCACACGAGCATAATTTTAGGTTTTAAAGAACGCTTATTAGGGCATCTGGAATGATCCATTCACGTAAAAAGGAGGTCCCGTAAACTTCTTTATTGCTCCCTTTGAAACGCCAGTGTGCCGAAGGGCGGTGGAATTTTATCTGTTCGTTCACTAGGTCGGCTGTCGGCTATACACCACGTGATCACGCTCGCTGCGCATAATCACGCGCATGAAGTGGGGTAGAATTCAAATGAAAAAGGCGAGTGATTGATTGGCTCGGAGAACACGTATACTATATCCACCACCCTGTCACCGTATATACATGAAAGGAGCGTAACCGGTACGTGTTGCCGTTCTATTTTCCTACGAGGAGCGCGTGCTCGTCAGCGTCTTGGGCAGGGGTTGCGTTGACGTCAACGCAGAGCTCTGATTGGCCACGATTGAAAGGATAGTGCGTAGACCTCAATGCAGCTAGCATTGAGATCTACGCACTGTCCTTTCAAGCAGAGCTTATCGTTCTGACGTCAACGTGTAACTTCTGTGCGAGAAGCAGGCACGGCGCAAGCGCATACCGCCAAGTTCTAGCAGACGATTAAAAGACAAACTTGCACTCTGTATTACCCTCTCAACAAACACCGCCCTTAACAACATTTAAAGAAAAGGGGAAAAGGGGGATTTGGGGGGGGGGGGGGGGGGCATATTTTTGTACGCGAGATCGGTTATCGTGTTTACACATGTAATATGCAGTGGGAAAAAAAAAATGTTGCAACGCTTCCTACAACAATGCTTTGCGCGATCTGGATTCGTCTGGATTGAGCTACTATGGTGGAGGAGGCTTTGGAAAACTACAGAATTACCATACGGACACCCGCCCACGCTTGAAACCTTACCACACCCTCTGACATATGAATTTCGTTTGTTACACGTCGTACAGAGCGAACTAGCGAGCAGTACGTGTATGTATCGTAACAATAAAATAAAAAAAAAAGAGAAAAAAAAAGGGGGTGAACAAATGGGTTATGGGCACAGATCTACAGGTTGCCGCAGCTGTGGTTTCGGGAACAACTCGTATATTTTCCTGTCGAATTCTCTCGGTAAGTATACTCGTGTACCACCTCCCCATTGAATACTTGTCCTCTAGTTTGCAGATGTCGCGCAAAGTGTATGCCTTGCCTTTGCACGGGCGAGTTGCGGGGGATAATTGAACCCTGGGAACGAAGCGTGCGAGAGTGTGTCGTTGCAATGGGATTTGTTCGAAGACGCTCCGATTGTTTTGCAGATTCTTCGTCGGTTGCCTGGTCATGCCCAAGATCGACGTGGACTGCGAACAAGCGCTTCTGTGAGTGCCAAACTTCTCTCAAATATACGGGATGTTTCCGAGCGCTCTTATAGGGAGTATTCACTGTCGGCCATATCTGTGTGCGCGACTGCTGAGCGCGCGCTGACGGCAAGGTTCTGCAGTTCTTTCGCAACGTGCATTCCGCACCATCAAGATTGGCGGTCTTAGCAGGCTATCAATGTGTGCTCGTTCTGAGCATGCGCTCTAAACATCGCCTTCAAATATGGCGTCCAGTGAATAGCCCCTATAGAGTGTAAGAAAAATTGGCATAAAATAAAACCAATTGCTGAGTGCAATTTTTTTACAAGAGGGGTATTTAGATGAAGTATTTCCTATATTTATATTTTATCAGTATAAATTACAAAAAAAAAAGCAATTTTTTTTTTTATGCACAGGGAGAGAAACGGCAGTAAACGCGTGGTTGGCGCTGCTACTGACAGATCAACCAAAATGGCGACCATAGGGGAGCTTGGCACTATTTTCCCAGGGTCCAGTGATATTAGTCACCACCAGTACGCTCAAATGTAAAGTGAAAAAAAAAAAAAAAAGAAAAATGCCAAGAATTTTGCACAGCTCCGATCAGTGCGATGACGGCAAAGGCTCCCTCGACGCATCCCGGTGGCGGTGGCGTAGCCAAACTGACATATGAGATCGGTCCACATTCTATCCATTTACGTATACATAAATACACCCTTCGGCATAAACAACGTAGTACTTTTTAAAATATGTTTTGTTACTCGTATGGGGCTGCAGCTTCAATAGCAGGTGCACGAGGCTGTCGTTTGTTTTTTGCCCCTCTCATTGAAGCGGTAATTACCTGATGGCTGACGCATGTGGCGTTTAGCTTTGAATTGCCGCTTTCATATATTGTTTTTCTCAGAAAAAGCAACAACAACAACGCGGTTAATTTTTTTTTCTTTAAAGAACGAGGAGAAATAAACGGGGGTTCCCACTCTAGTTCATTTTGATTTTTTTCGTTATAAAACATGAGTCTCGGGAAAATATGATTAGTAATATTTTTATTCTTAAAAAAATAAAAGAAAATAAAAGCAAATAATAAAACTTTTTTTTTTTTCGTCATCGTTGTCGTTTAAAAATGAAAAAATTCTTGTTTGCTTCTCTCATATTTTCCTTATTTTGATCCTTCTAATGTTTCCTTGAGGTTGATCAGTCTTCGACGCTCTATTTGTTCAACTTCATTCTCCCGTTCCACAAAGGGACTTCTGGCAGTTGCCATCGTAGCAGGAGTAAACATTGGACCCAGGATCCCTGAACTCTGCAGCGCGAGCTTTACAGTCCACGAGCTAAGAACTTGCGCAAACTCACACACTCGGCCATCGATTCCTCACATATACGGCCTTCTTGTAAACAATGGAACGGTTTTAGTGAAAGCGAAGAAGACGAGGAGGTTGTGCGTGGGGGGAGCTTGCGTCACCCAGGGATGGGTTAGGCGTTTGGGGGCCGCACCCGGCGTCGCTGCCGAGGTCTCATGACCTCGGCCGACGAGACCCTGTGGCTGCTAGGCGCCCAGCCGGCCCTCCGGGCTCCGGGTGCGGGGAATCACCGGTACCTGATGCTTCGCAGGAAGACCTCGGCGGTCGCCGGCAAGCGGTACGAGTCTATCGTGAACGCCGGCTCGTCGCTCATCTACTGCTCAGCCCAGGGAGACCCCGATGACCCGCTGCCGTCCGGGCTGCACCTGGTGCCCAGGAACTCCGTGTCACAGGTACACAATTTTGCGGCACTCCAACAGTTGTAAATAAAAAGTACTATTCACAACGCCATATCCGAGTGCGTTGTTCACCGCGCGTGCTCAGAAGGAGCACACACTTATAAGGAGGATTCACAGGCGGCCATAGCTGTGTGCGCGACTGCTGAGTACGTGCTGACGGCGAGATTTCACAGTTCTTTTGCAACGTGCATATAATATTGGTGACGTGCATGATCGAAAGCGTCGCTGTGGTCGGCCTTCCACGATTGGCCGAATGCTGACTATGACGTCAGAAAAGGATTTCTCACTGACGGAAATAAGATTGATGTAAGGAACCTCAACCTTGACGGTTTTTGCAGTGCTGGTTTCAGAGCGCTATAATTTCCAGCATCTACCATGGTCATTACAAACACCATCGACCTTGTTGTTAGCAAGGTAATGACGTCACGAGAGGGAACCGTAGCAGGGCGCCACCAAAACATCTTGCCGTTAATAGTTGTAGCTAGGGTATACTTGGCTGTTGGCAATATTTGTGGTTTAGGACAGTTAAGTTTGACCTCAGTCATAATTAACTGCGGTTAAGTGCTCCCGTGTAACTACGGTATTGACAGCCTGCGAGGGATATTCACTGGACTCTATAGATTTGAGGGCGCTGTTTAGAGCGCACGCTTAGAACGAGCTCGCAATAAAAGGATTGTCTGGTGATATCCGGAAGTTTTTAAATTTTTTTGCGCTGGTCACGTACAGAGGGCCTAAATATGGTCAGATATGATATTTATTTCATTAAAAGACGCCCCAATATTCGGTAAATCAATTATGAACATCAATACGAAACTTCACGCCACATTTCGGAGGTATGCATGGCTGGTTATGTCTTGACGTCACATCAGCCATGGTAACGTTAGAGTTGCGGGCGTTGACTTGTTCCCGGTTTCGATCAACATGATTGATGGTGCAAACAAACAAATATCATCGTCGAAGAATTGAGCTTCTCTCAACACCGTATCTCTTGTCTTTCTTAGAACGAAGTTATTTTTCTGACAACACTCAAGAGCTGTCGTGGCTCTTTTTGCACGACGTTACGTCAGAGCTTCCGCTGTTGCCAACGGAAACGTCGTGTGTTTTGCAGGTGCAATCCGAGCAGTTGGGCTGTTTCAAATTGAATTACGTGTGCGACGGAGGATTGAAGATGCGAATATTGTGCGGATGATATTTCCTAAAAGCAATGACAATATAATTTAATTGTTTTCTGAAAGACAACATTTTACCGGCTGCCAAGACCGGCAATCTTGATTGTGTGGGATGCACGTTGCAAAAGAACGGTGGAAACTCACCGTCAGCACGTACTCAGCAGTCGCGCACACAGCTATGGCCGCCTGTGAATCCTCCTTATAAGTGTGTGCTCCTTCTGAGCACGCGCGGTGAACAACGCACTCGGATATGGCGTCCAGTGCACCCCCTAAATCAAAAGGACAAGGGGTGAAGGACAAAGGGTGCGTCGCTGTCCTTAAGCTTGAGTAATAGGCCTAGTCGTTTTCAAAGGGCAAGTGAAAAGGGACCATGAAACGATTTGAGCCTATAGTCGGTGACAGGTCAAGAACGAAGTGAAAGCTCCGCCCACCTCTTTGCACTTTAGCGGAGCGAACGCTGGAGAGAAGGCGACCTCCTCTCCGGCGTTCCCTCTGTTAAAGTGGAAAGATGTGGGCGGAGCTTCCACTTCGTTCTTGACCTGTCACCGACTATAGTTTGTACTCTTCGCTATGAGTAGTCGCTTGCCGGTGCTTGAACACGAAGGGGAGCGCGCCGGTAAAGTGTCCCTTTAATTCGACATGTCTCCTCCTCTCACCGACATTAACGTCTCTTGAGTCCTGATGTTTGCTGCCATGAATAGGGCCGTTGTTGCTGCTGCGTCATAAAACCCGCAATCGTCTCATGCCGACGCATGAAGTTCGCTCGGTGCTTTATTGAGAGCTCGTCACCCCACGCTCACATTGCACTCTGTGCACGATGACGGCGCAATCCGAAGTCCAAGGAATCGCGTACGCACCTATCCTATTTCCTGTCAAACATCGGCTCGCGAAACCTCCTCTATGTCGAATCACGTTCCTCTCCGAGATTCCTCGAAGAATGCAGGAGCGGCACAAGGTTAGCGGAGTGCCTTTGCAATCGGGTTTCAACGCAGAATGACGGTGAGTATACGATCCGCGCCTGTTGTCATTGGCCCCTTGGAGTGTCGGCGTTCGCCGTGTCGATATTCGCAGGATACCAAATTTTTCCGAGTCGGGGAGGTAGCCGAATCTTGGCTAAAATGATCTGGCAAACCTGGTTCATTTATAAATCGCGGTCGGGGCGGCCGGACCGTGTACCTGGGGCAGGTACTGCTTCAGATCACCGCAGACCTTCAGGACATATCGCGTGAACGGGCAAGATAGCTTCGTGGGTGCCATGATTACCGCCGAATGTTCTATTACCAGTTTGCCTGAGTACAGCATATTTTATGTTTGATACTTAATCTGGAGGGATGTTAGGAATATTTGTGTGGGAGGTGTTTCCCCGGTGAACTCTCGGGTATACATATCGTCTGCGGCAATTCTTATCACCCGCTGGTTGAGTGTCCGTCTTGGAGAGCTATGGGTTTTGAAAATGGGAGGCCTTTGAGATGGCTAGCTAAATGTCAAGATGAGCTTTTGTTTGTTTTGTTTTCAATTCGGGGGTTAAAAAGGGTCCGCCAGAAATCTGGGCCATTATAATTCGGATCAGAGAGGTTGGAGTCTGAGATATAAATACTAGGTAAAGCATTTGCTGCATGTTGTGGAAGGTCCATGATGTTTTCCTCTTTAAAAGGATACTCCGGTGTTTTATCCATGGTTCCACGATTTGCCTGAAAATTTACGTAACACACCAATGAACATCGTGGAAATAGTATCCCAAGTATTTGGACAATATTTTTTTTTTTTTTTTTGCCATGTTATTGAATTGTCACTTTTTTACTGGCAACCACGAATAAAGGGGCTCCAGCGGCAGGCAGGGGTTCACGTTTTGAACTGTGCGATTCGTCCCCAAGTGATTACAAGCGGTTTCAGGGTGCCAAGTGAATGCTTTGTAAGCTCGCCCCAGCACCCGCGCAGTAGCGCGAAACAAACGCTCGGCATACTCCATTTTTAAGAGTACCTGCTCCACTGGCAAGGCTGCCTCACTGACGCCACGGTACTGCAAAGCGCTGGTGTATTTGAATGTTGGTTTTGGCATCATTTTTATTTGCCGATATCGCAACTTTTTTTTTTTTTATTTCACGACACTAAGGAGCATATCGAAAAGGGTAAAGGCCAGGTATTCAGGAAATATAATTAATTGGGGTAGCCCAAAAAATCACTGCTGTACCCTTTTAAAGATACACCCCCCCCCCCCCCCAAAAAAAAAAAGTTTTAATTTTTTTTTTATTAGGCGATTCATTATGCTGTCAGAAGACTACCCAATCAAAATTTTGCAACAGTGTCACGTATATTTTTAATAAAGTAAAAAAACGCAACTGCTCGAAATCCACACCGAAACTGGACTGAAGAGAAAGACGAAATGTAGAGGAGAAAAATACCGGAAATCACGTAACTGTGCAAACTTTTTTTTAAATCAACGTTTTTGCAGTTTTTTAGAAGCCACAAAAATTGGTATCGTATTTTTGTCCATTTCTAGCATTGAGTGTGTGCCTCCGATGACTCACGACTTTGATTATCTTTAGTGGTTGTGTCTAGACCATAGAAAACGGCACGCGACCATGGAGGAGAGAGTGAGCACGACTCAAACCGGCCAGTTTTTTATCAGCGGTTTTCGGGCAGAAAGAAAACGAATTTCGAGCCGCAAATTGTGTGCTAGGTAGTTGGGTTCTCATAATTCATGCTCAAATAAAAACATTGGCGAGCATAAATACCCTGTCAGTGTCTCTTTGACAGGGGTCAAAATCTGTGCGCAGGTTGACATTGCAAACATTACACAGCCGAATCCCAGTATTGGACACAATTTACGAGTTGATTTTTATCGTAATTCGCATCCATACCCAAGCGAAAAGTTCCGTTGTTGTTCAGTTCAGTTCAAATAAGTTGAATTTTATTTACTCCAATTCATGTCGAGAAAGACGGGACAAAAAGCTACTCAATGTAGCTTAAAACGTTTCTGCCTCTATACAGACTTTGACAAAATTCTGAAAACATACACAAGTCAAAAATTGACAAAGAAGATAACAAATATAACACAATATATACACACATATATGTTCCACTGTATTTCTTTCGAATATATTTGTTTTTGTTTTATTCTTGACATATTGTTTTTATCTGAATATTCTGTTTAATAAGTTCGCTAAGGGTGGATGGTACAACATGCTGAAGCATTTGCAATCCGTACGTGATTAGTTCTTGAATAAGGCACTCTCCACTACTCTGAACAACGTATATGATAAAACACGGAGTTTGGAACAAGTGATAAAACATTGAAAACTTATATATTATTACGAAAAGTACTGCTTATATATTTCCGAATTAGTATTTGTTTATATAGAAATCAGCAACCCGCGTTGCCCTAAATCTTGAAAATGAGACCTCTGTATGGTTGTCGTCTGCTACTGCTGTATTTCCCAGTAGTACTGTTATTTTTGGCGGCGATTTTAATTACCCCGAGGTCAACTGGAAAGAGGAAGAAATAAACTCTTGGGTGGCCCATTCAGAAGTGTCCAGTTTTGTTGACTTGATGAATAGCTACGGTTTAACTCAAACTGTATTGGAACCCACAAGAAATAATTCTGTTTTGGATCTTGTTTTTACCTCGAGTGCAGAAAATGTAAAATCGGTTCGTATTCTTGAGAAAATCAGCGACCATAACACAGTCCTAGTAGAAATGTCTCTGCCAGTAATAGGTAAAAAAATAACCCCTAAAACCATAAACGTCTACAGTAGAGTTAATGAAAACGCTCTAAACGAGTCCTTTGAGCTGTTTGCTTCGGAATACGAGCTGCATTTTAGCGA